ACCAAACAGACCCACGCCACCACCATCACCACCAATGAAAGCCGGTTCAAAGCCAGGACCTTTCCCATTAAGACCACAATGGCCTTGGGGTCCTCCTCAACACTGTGCACATAAGAGTCCCCTCAGTCACTCTTGCACTAGAGAGTTCTTCCTGAAGAACTTCCCCACTGTCTGTCATTCACCTCTTTGCTAGACAGTCTAGAGCAGCGGTTCTCAACCTGTGGGTCGCGACCCCTTGGGGTCAAACGACCCTTTCACAGGGGTCGCCTAAGACCATCGGAAAACACATATATAATTACATTTTGTTTTTGTAATTAATCACTATGCTTTAATTATGTTCAATTTGTAACAATGAAATTGGGGGTCACCACAACATGAGGAACTGTATTAAAGGGTCGTGGCATTAGGAAGGTTGAGAACCACTGGGAGCAAAACACACAGCTGTCTGATTTAGCCCTTGAGAAGGAAATACTTGGCAATTGATATATTGATGCCTTATTCTATTCATGTTTCTGCTGGAAATTGGCTACTTTTCTGCATCAGGGGATGAACAGCCACCTCCTACTTTGTCTTCTTGCCTTTTAAAGTCGTCTTGATCCCTGTGATTTGACTTGAACGAGCAGTGAGACTAATCTCATGCAGAGAGGCGTCACTTCAGCCACCTGGCCAGCTTCTGCCTACCTCACCTCTACCTCCATGGGAGACCTCATCATCTCCTAGTTGGGGAACATGTCTCTGAAGACCCTTTGTGCCAGGTTATTCCTGGCAACTATTCACATAAATGACACATTGGAGTCTTCAGCCAATTTGTTATCCTTCTGTTTAACCAAGGCCGGGTACTTACAGTGCTGGCCTTCTAGGTCCCGGGCCACCCATCGGCAGGGCTTGTTTTCTCAATGGGAAAACAGGGTCTGCTTCAGAAACCCGAGGCGCAGAAGTTTTAAGCCAAACAAAATGCCTTCAAAGTCAGCTAGTAGAAAACATTCAGACATTAGCATTAGGATCCTGATGACTTCAAACTTATTTTTTTTAATTCGCGATTCCATTCCTCACCCACAGTTCTTCTACTCCTTTTCTCTCCATGGTAAGAGTTAGTCATCAGAGCCAGTTGGCCCTCCGAACATTCTTCTGGTGTCTGGAAATAGGATCGCATGCAGGGATCAAAAAATTTATTTTCTCTAGCTAACCTCATAAAATGCAGCCTCTGATGCCTATCGTAGATTTTCCTTTTTTTCATATCTGTAACCTCATGCCCATGATCTGACCAGCTAGATTCAGAAGGCAAGTCATGCGCTGTTTGCCACAATATGTTACCTCGAGTGGTCATACTAAAAATGTGCAAAGAAATAATTACAGTGGAGAATAGAGGTGTAAAAAGCTGTGGGTGGGGGCTCTCTCTGACCAAAATCTCATTCCAACTTCCTGCCAAATGCTTCAGAACTACTACGCTGTTAAAGAAGACCTATCTCGCTGCTAACTGTGACCAGCAAAGCAGTGCCCTTGGCCTTCATTTCTTGAGTTTTGCTCAGTTGCTAACCATGAAGGCTCCACTCTGCTCTCGTCCCAACTGGCATGGAGTTTCAAAGTTAACACTGGAGAACTCCCAGGGCATGTCACCTCCAATTCATCAACACGCAGTCCTGGATTCTACACATTCTTACACTTAATAAAAACAGGAATGAAGGAGAAGAGTGAGGAAAACATTATTTTCGAGGAATTTACTTGATAGCATCTTAAACCCATGAGCCAAAGCTGTCCTGGGTCCTTTGAATCCAACTGTGAGGTGGAAAGGAAGATGGCTGGGGAAGCCGCATGGGGCGGTAAGCCTCAGACAGCAGCCATTGTCCAATGCCTGTAATAACTCAACTGTTTATCATATTGTGAAGAGGGAAAATAACCTTGAAAAGAAACAAGGACTCAAACAACTGATGTGAAAGGTTTTTGTCCGTCCCCCGAGTCATGTGTTCCCTTTTTATTTTGCCTGAAGATTGTGCCAGGTTTGGGTTTTTTTCATCCCCAAGAAATCTCACCTAATACTGCCATTTGGGAAGGGAACGAATACGTCACAATGGAGGCTGGTACTTCATACACATGATGCATACATTCCTGAGGATAATATTTAGTGCTATTATAATAAATCTTTTCCAGATCCTGCAAATAATAGGAAAGAGGATTTCTTCATACAAAGGAAAAACTTTGCCTTCTTGGGTATATCAAACCCTCATCTGATACACTCAGACCCAATTAGTGGTGAAAACTGATTAAATCAGAAAAATCTTTAAAAATGACATATACTAGCACATACCTTAAAACTTCAGTTGAATTTGCAGCTATAGTGACTGACCATCCTGACTTGCCTGTGATGAGCCACAGCTGGTCATCCTGTTTATAGCACATAAGGGGACACACTTATATACCCTGTTTTGGACGATGATGTTTCTATGATTAAGGATCTACTACCTGGAACTTTACGTGGACCTTCTTTCATGAACCACTCCAATAACATGGCCTATGATTTCCCATCTCAGCTTCTTTGAAGTCAAGCAAGAATAAAAATACTTGTGAAGACTAGAATCCTACATTTTTTAAATGTGTTTTTATTGATTTTAGAGAGAAAGGAAAGGAGAGGGAGAGATAGAAACATCCATGAGAGAGAAACATCGATTCACTGCCTCCTTCATGATCCCCACTGAGAATCAAGCTCGAAAGCTGGGCTTGTGTCCTGACCAGGAATCAAACCGATGACCTCTTGGTGCATGGGACAACGCTCAACCATTGAGCCACACCAGCCAGGGCAGAATCCTACATTTTTATTTATTTTTATTTTTTAAGATTCTTTATTAATTTTTTAGAGAGAGAGTAAGGGGAAGGGAGAAAGAGAGAAACACAGACGTGAGCAAAACATCAATTGGCTGCTTACTGCACACCCCTTCCTGGGGATCAAGGTGACTACCCGGGCATGTTCCCTGACCGAGAATTGAACCAGTGACCTCTCAGTGCACAGGACAATGCCCAACCAACTAAGCCACACTGGCCAGGGCAGAAACCTACATTTTTACAACATTCTCACACCTTGTGTACTTGTCACAACCCACTTATGTTGACAGAAAGGCTTTTGTACTAATTTTGATTCTTTTCCAAAATAGTCAATGAACTTTCAAAGCAATGACTTTTTACACTCACATTATAAAATATTTGTGTTACCATTTCATTGAATGACAAAATTCCAATAGCAAGTGCAATTGGCTTGAGAAGGTTTGAAACAAACACACTGACCCCCTATGCACCCAGTTCACCCCCTGGAGCAGAAAGTCCTGAGTGTCCTAGGAGAGAGTGGGCTGGACCGGCCAGAGGTGCTCAGCATGCCAAAGGGAGAAGATACGGGTTTTACTAGTACATGCATTACATGGGACTAGGGAATACATCAATTCATGCAGCGAGTCAATAACATGGCAGCAAATTAGAAAACTCCTACACTAAAATATGTCAGCCCATACTACAAAAGCGTGAATTTTCTTCAAGGAGCTAGCTCATTAGGATATTTAACAAGCCCATTTTAGTATAAATCTGCTTTCCACTGCCTTATTATTTCTGGGAAATGCGAATTCATGCTCATGCCCCAAGTCCTACTGTAAACCAGTTATATTTCAACCAATATTGAACTTTAAACAGTTCAGCACATAAGTGCCTGAATTTGCTCTAGATACTGCATTGGGGGAAGGGGAGAGTTTATCCAAAAGAATCATAGGCCTTTTCTACAGGTAGACATGATTTATACATGTGAAATAAATGGAAAAGTGTAACCAATTAAATATAATCAAGTGCACATACATGGTTTGTGGTCGTTCAGTGCTATAGGCAGTTGAGAAGCGAACAGTTAATGTTGGCTGAAGGTCCTACAGATCTTACTTTGCTTCCAAAATAATTACAAACCCTCCTGAGCTTTATGAGTCAGCTGCACGGTTACTCTGGACACAGAGTTAGACAAAGGTTGTCACTCCAGGCACTTGCATCTCCACCATACCTAACACCAACTGAAGGAAACTGACACGGATTTCCCTCCACATCCCGCTGCTCCCTCGCCCCATCCCTTCCAGCAGGGATGCAGGAAGGAGAAGGGACCAGAAATGATTCCTCCCACTCCACCCACGCACACCACACTCCAGGTGCAGAATGCGCTTCAACAGGATGACTTACCCTCTCCTAATTAGAGGCCTGAATTAAGACCACAGTGTATATTCAGTAAAAGTGAAATTACTCAGATATGGAGAACTTCTATGCATAAAGTAAAATTAGCTCCTTTTTTTCTTTCTATATTACATACTTGCCTCAATGTGGCCCAATGCCAGGAGGAAACCAAGCCAGTTTCAGAAACGCTTTACGTAGAGATTGTCTAGTTTGCATAAATAATTCCTTTCATCGCCATTCAACCCTTGTGTGTTGGTTGGGAAACCAGTGGGTCTGGAAGAAAATCAATGGCTGCAGGAACGGCCCGATGGGGTTCCCGAGTGACCGCAGGCCAGCCATCCTGAGCCAGAAGTACGTGCATCACCGTATTGCTCAGCATCCACATGTGCCCACCCTGCCCTGACCTGAGTTTCCCTTTCAATCACCTGACCAAAAACCATATCTCAGACCTCACTCCTGTCCAGGTAACTTCGCAGACCCACCAGGAAGCACATGGCAGGCATTTCACTGGCAGAAGATTCACACTGGCACAGCCCCAGGAAGACCTTGATCTCTCCCAGCATCACCAGAAGGAACCTCAGCAGCAATGTCTTACCGCCAGCTCTATTCACTAACCAGACAACAAAGGGATCAGGCAGAGCAGGGCTTCAAAAACGACTGCTAGGAATTACTTCACTAAAAACTTGAATGATCCAATGACAGGAGCCAACCCAACCAAGAGCGACTATTCATTCCCAGGAGTGGCATTTCTCATCACATGTTTAATCACGGAAGGTGGATGGCAAGCATCCCCATCTACACATGTCACTCACCGATACAGGCGTGGACCCTCACGGACAGTTGTGTCCTTAGGATGATGCTGTGCTTCTTGCCCCGCCTAATGGAGAGAAAACACACACGGGCATCAGAGGAGTCAGCGAGAAGCCTAGAGGCCGACAATCCACTCGAAGGTTCTGACACATCCACCAGACAGAGACTCCAGAGAAGCAGGGACCCAAACAGAACAAGAATCTCTCCTGGAATAATGTGATGTCACAGGGCTTTCCAGAAAATAATAAAGTTTGACTCTGTTGGATTGACACACGCATTTTATTGCCAAACCCGGTCAACTCATTCCATCCACAGAGTTTGCGTGTTCTCATGCTTGACCATGTTGGGAAAATTTTCAAATCTGTGCCCATAAAGTGAAATCCCAGGAATGTAACAACCCAAATCGGCCTGATCATTCCCATGGCTATTTTTACATTTTTCTGGATATAGGAAAGGGGCACATGCAGTGGGGGAATCAGAAAGAGTTGCTTTTCTGTGTATCAGTTCAAGACTACTGGGTTTTTATCCTTTCCAGGAAGATGAGAATCCACCAAAGAGCTTATAGGCTATTTATTATTGGGAACTCCAATTTACACACCTCACTTCACTTTTGTTTCCTTCTCACTTCATTTCTTATGAGGAAGCAAAAAGCTGGCCCCTCCCCAATTCTGTTCCCACCAGGGCTCATCCCCTTATGCAAAGGAGAACTAAAGCACTGAGCAGGTGACAGAGAAGATGATAAATGGGAAGAAACGTGAGTCCTGGCTACCTGGGGGTAGCAAAGGCTTTGAGACTGGGAGAAAGCGGAAGCCAATGGGCAGAGGTAAAATGGAGCCAGCCCACCAGCATGGAGCAGGGAAGCCGCTGGGGCTCTTGGTGGCTGAACTGCCCTTCCATCACTCTTCTGGCCTCTCACCCCTGCCCATCAGGGCTTCCTTTGTAAAGGAGTCTGGCAGTAATTCCTGGTTTTACAGTTGTTTGGAGGGGACGGGAACAGACATCTCACCAGGCACACTGCTAGTATTGTGATTATGGATTCATCGTCATCAATGAAACAATTCTATTTCTTATGCTTGAGACCAGATCAGAGGGGAAAGTATGGTGTCAAAGGTTGTTTTTTTTTATTCTTTTAAAGGAGAAAGGAAAGCCAGCTGCATAGTCCTACAAAAGCATGCAGTGGCCTCCCGCCCTGAAGCTGCTTATAGGTAGAGAACCTGCATCCGGTCCCTTCAAATCCCCAGGGCTCCCCCTTCCCCTTCCCGATTTGTTCATTTGATTGATTTACATATGCTGTGTGCAAGGCACTAGTCTCAAGGAGCTTACAACAAATCCACTGCCCTTGACCCATCTTCAGAAATTGGATTTGAGATTCCTAGGAGGGCAGATTTCTTCAAAACTTTCTTCCTCACACACACACACACACACAAAATGGTTTTCTCTCTCACAATGCTGGTGTTGACACTCTTTCAATTCCTGTGACGGTACCAGGAAGAAAGTTTCAGTGGGTGCCCTGCGCTCAATCATTGATCGACCTGGCCTTCTTTGTGAACTGCTGGAAAAGGTGTGTGGGGGGGGGGGGCCTCCCCCAGAGCTGGAGCAGAGACTGCGGAAGCCCTGAGGGGAGCCAGGCCCCAACCACGAGGAAGAGCAAACCTGGAGCACCCTCAGTCCGTGGCCCATGTTATCAGCATTAGGAGTCGATGATGAAAACCAGACGACGGGAGGCAGAGCACATGCTTTGGATGCCCCGAGTGGGGAAGCAGGGGTGGCCGGGGAAACAGTTCAGAATACCTCAAGTTCTGGAAAGTTCAAAGGGCCCTCACTTTTATCTTCAAACAACTGCAAAGTCACATTTTGAGGAAGCGCTTAAGTTTTCCCAGAGAATTCTGCAGTCCCCCAGTGAGAGTGTGGGGCTGTCGCTCTAGGATTCCCGGCGCCTTCATGAAAACCAGGACAGTCTCGGAGGCGGCCCTGGCAGGCCAGCCACTCTGAGGTGCCGTGCTTCCTGTGCTTGTGCCTTGAGAAACCAGGCAATCGGACAGGTTAAGCCAAACCCTGGTGGAACTTAAGAGACCACAGAACAAAAAAGGCGTATTTTGTAGTAGTTTTCTCTCTTATCATTCCAATTCTGTACCTCCTTCCCTGTCTGCCCCTCTACACAAAACCCTGAGATGGGAGGAATCACTGTGGAAATTCTCAGAATAGAGCCAAGGTCTATGGAAGCTGCCTAAGGGGTTGAGGCGCCAAATCCCAGGAGCTACTGGCAGAGGAGGGAGGCGGCCAAGGCGGAGACGAGTGGCGGTGAGTGCAGGCAGGTCCCCAGAAGGTGTCCTTCATCTCCCACCCCTGCCTCACCCACCTCCACTTTCTCCCATCTTTGATGTGGGTACCATCATTGTGCCCATTTTACAGACGAGGAAAGCAAAGCCTGTAGAAATGACGTAACCTCCATAAAGTCAGAGGGCTGGTGGAAGTCGAATCGGGCCTGAAGGCAGAGTGTCTGGCTCCACAGTCACCAGCCGCAGCCTGCCTTTTGCTGTACAGTGACAAGCCTCACTATACAACCTCTCCACTTTTTTCAGTGGTTTAACCTCAATGCTAAAATCTATTAAAGAGGACACGCATACAAATTAAAATGCAAAAATCTAAGAAAATATTGCCAAACCAAATTATGAAAATAATTTAACAGGACCAAATAAGGTTTCTCCTAAGACTTCAAGGATTACAGGAAGTTCAATGTTTTATTTATATATATTAAATATCAATGTATTAAGGACACCCATCATAAAATGCCTTTAAATTTGATTAATGCTGATGTATTAGTATTAGAGGAAAGTTGATTTTCATGCATTTCCTTTGTACATGGCCATCTCACTGCTGTTATTGATTCTAAAAATCCTTGGGCCAATTCTTTTATGGGCATAATCATGTCATCTGTTAAAAATAATCATTTTATCCCCAGGCTTTTTGTAGGAAGTATGCACTTATCTTCTGTTTCATGGCTAAAACTTTCAAAGGAAAATTAAATAATCACGGGTAGATTTTCCCCTGCCCCCAGTGGGATACTATGTCAGTTTGGATTTGGAAAATAATATTCATAACAGTTGTTAACCTTCATGGAATGCTTATCGCGTGCCGGACAAGCGTCTAAGTACTTTATACAGATTCAATCTTCAAAAAATTCCTATAAAATAGGTAACATTATTGCCATTTTTAAAATGAGGAAATTGAGGCTCAAAAGGGTTAAGCAACATAGCTGAAGTCACACAGCTAGAAAGTGACGAGCTCAGATTCAACCCAGGCAGTGCAACCCAGAGCCTGTGCTCCTATCACCTCCCTGGTGGGTGCTCCTTCATCTACTCCCTCATTCCACTCTGTATGAGATGCACGATGCACGCTCTGCCTCAAGGCAGCAGCAACCCGGAGATCCTGCCTGACCTGCAGGTTTTGGACTCCAGACGACAACATCAGTTCTTACCTGAATTTCCACACCGCTGGCCCACTCCACAGATTTCAAACTAGCCAGTCGCCACAATGGAGTGAGCCAATTACTTAAAATAAATCTCTCTAGATACACTCGGTAGACCAAATGGATTAGATTAGAAAGATTAGATGGGTAATCGATACCTTGTTGGTTCTATTCTCTAGAGAACCTTAATACAAACTTTGGTATCTGCTTTCACGGAGCTTCCATGTTCCAAAAATCAGTGGATTCGGCATAAACACTTGAGTGATCTTTTCCTCCCTGATATTGACATGCTGTATCTCTTTCACAGCTGCCCCTCCTTCTGAATCCGCCTGCTTGCAGCAGGGTGACCCCAAGGCAGAAGCGATTTAATTTGACCTGAAACTCCCCAGGGAGAGTCAGATTCCATTCCTATCAGCACAGCCACTGCCAGGGAAACATCACCACTTTGGAGATCAGCCACAGCCAATCAAGGGCCCACACCCAAGGCCAGTGCTACCCAAGTGACAAGAAAACTATCTAAAATAGACACTCAATTCAAGGGAACTCCAATCAAGGCAAACATGCCAGCGATATGAGGGTGCTGCTGGTGAAGGAACTTTCCAAAACTTCCTGGCTTCTCAGAATCCACCAAGGTTCTCCTATAACCATGCCTACGGCCTTGGGGTGGGACCCGGGGAAGGGGGGGCGGGGAAGAGGGCTGACACCATGTTTCAGTTCTGCCCCAGTCTCTCAAGAGAATTTTTTATTTATTTATTTTTAATATATTTTTATTGATTTCAGAGAGGATAGGAGAGGGAGAGAAATATCAATGATGGGAGAGAATCATTGATCAGCTGCTTCCTACACTCCTCCTACTGGGGATTGAGCCCATAACCCGGGCATGTGCCATGACCAGGAATCGAACCATGACCTCCTAGTTCATAGGTCAATGCTCAACCACTGAACCACACTGGTCAGGCTCAAGTATTTTTACAAGAATAACATATGAAGTCTTTTTGTGGCTATAAGAGCAAGTGCATACATTAATTTATTAAGTGGCATGCAACCAGAGACTTGATGACTTTTTCTTGCAACCAACAGCAGAAATAATTCCCCCAAACATTCCTCCACTCAAATTAGAACTAAACTATGATTTCGATCAAGAGTAGAAAACATGTTTGACCGTGTGGCAGAAGCAGAAATTAGGACCCATTCAGCAGTTGCCCCAGGAATATGCTTCCTTTTACTAAGCTTCTGGAGCGGTGAGACGCAGCCAGTGTTCTGGCTGAGGGATAATGAGCTGAAGAAGGATTTGAATTAGTCATCAGCACGTGAAAAGATAGTGTTAGCTCAGATTATTTGCTCAAAAACTTCAAGTTCAAGAGAGCCAGTGGCTACTACATTCACCTCCAGAGGCATTCTGGTCTTTCCTCGTAGACAGTAGAGGTGAAAAGCATAGATGCTGAAGCCAGCTGTGTGATCTTGGACAAGTTACTTAGCCTCTCTGAGCCCCAGCTTCCTTGTCTGTAAAGTGGGAAAATAATATTACATATTTGGTGTCATACCTAAGAAATGAAAACTTGCTCCTATTTTCTTCTAAGATTTTTAAAGTTTTAGCCTTTCATCCCCAGGTGCCCCTAATGGGAAAGAAACCTTGGTTGAACACCTTCACAGCTCCCGGCTCTGGGGCCATCCTGCGGTCTCGCCTTCTCACTCCTCCATTTTCTCCCCGACCCACAACTATTCTGCTTCCTCTCTCCCTAAATCTCCTACAACACCCTGGTCTGACCTTGGTCCTCTCACAACTTGGCTTCTCTGTGGTGGGCATGGTGTTAACTGCCCTGTCTTTGAAATTTTCTCTCTCCTTGCTGAGGCACACCCTGCTGGTTACCTACCCAATTTCCATTTTCCCCTTTTGTCTCATCAAGAGAACCCAATTTTGTTTGAGGTGACATCATACCCACCTAAAAACCACCTTCTCCAGTCCCCTTGGCCCCCAAGAGTGGCCACATGACACAGTTGTCCTCAGTGAACTGGATGTGGAAGTTGCCGGTGGGGCTCCTGGTAAAGCTCTTTAAAAGGGGCCCACCCAGCCGGCACACAGCCACGAGACTCAGCACAAGGCCCATGCCCTGACTACTAGGCTACACTGCCCTGTACTATGCTCTCCTCGGATGCCAGAGGCCCTGCTGGAATCCCTGCTGACACAGGGAGGGAACTGGGCTCGCCAGGTCACTCTATGGCAGGGTCAGGCATAATCATTAGAGGCTTCGGGGCTCCTGTTTCCGCTAACTTCCCTGGCCTTGGAAGGCACTGACCAGGCCTGGCTCCCTCTGCAGCAGAATAATTGCTTTGTCCTTCCACTTCTGAAGGTCTTTCCCCTCTTCTCCCTTTAGCCATAGCTTGAGTGATCATTCTAAACAAGGGGTGAGTTAATTTTTAGTCCTGGCATAAAAGAGCAGGGCAATGAACAAGAACAAAGAAACAAACTCCTCCAGCAAGGAAAATTCACTCCGAGCACATTGTGTGGAAAACACCATCATTTTCCCATAGCTGGTCCCGTGTCTCCATCAGATGGTCTCATTAGGGAATATTTTGCTATGATTTACACAAAGAAATCAAGAGAAGAATGCGATTTCATTTGACCTCTTCGTGCCTATGAGGGGCAATTGTTAACTAGGAAGAAATTATATTTTAACTCCCATTCGTGGGAGACATGACTTCGCAGGCACCCAGACTCCGCCAAATGCCACGCTTCCAGGAGAGAACCTCGGAGGGATGCTCAGGCCAAGTGAGGCTGCAGATGTGCATGGACACCTCCCACCTGTGCAGGAAGGCTCAGCCTGTAGGCTGCTCCGAGCCAGCCCTGCCAGCGCTCAGTGGTGGTCAATAGCCTGGGAGTGACCGGGGTGAGCTGGCAGTGCCAGGATAGTCAATCTTGGCATATCTTCTGCAATCCAGGCCAGGGACAGAGGGGCTTCCCCACCAGAGAGCAGTAAAGAGCGTGGCTTCTTCACGCTCTTCTGGACAAAGAGAAGGTCATCCTGCATACATTCCAAAGGACGAGGGGTAAGGCACCACAAATGAATACTATTTCAAAGCCATAAAACCTGCTCTGGGGTGAGTTGTGGTACACCTGTCAAATGCGCAGCTACCCAAAGCTTTAGGGCTACCTTCCCCTGTTTGTAGTCACCCATGCCGTGAGTCCTGCCTTCTCGCCATCATTCATTTCCCCAGCATCGCATGCTGTTAGGGTGCAGAAATGTGGTCAAGGACCATGGGCCCAAGGCCAGGTGATGATTCAGAAGGGAACAAAGGAAGAAAGGAAGCCAGGATCTACTCTGCTGACCTAGCAGCAGGGCCCTGGCTCTTTAGGGAGAAGCCTCCAGCTCCTGATGCTGGTGTTGACAGAGCGAGCTATAGGCCACGGCCAGAGGACGGCAGCAGATGCGTCCTCCCTGCTGTGGGGTTGGTGCTGTTTCAACCACAGCCAGTGTTTTTAACCTGGGATTGAAGGTGCCCTTGCATGAACCACCCTCATGTCACCAAAGGTGTGAATGTACATCCTCAGTAGAACCTAAAGTGCCTTTGCCAGATACTCCTGGGATGGTGGGGGAGTACACACAAGCCTGGGAGATACTGTGGGTTTGGTTCCAGACCAAGGCAATAAGAGTCTTGCAATAAAACAAGTCTCGAAATAAAGTGAGTTGTAATCTTTTTGCTGGTGAAGGACCTTGCCTTCGGTTTATAAGAAAGGCAACATCCATGAAGCACAGTAGAATGAGGCATGCCTGTGCAGTCATTTTTTAAGTGATGATGAGTAGAATCTGATGTGAACTAATAATGATAGCCCTCACGTGTGTACAGCCCATGGCAATTTCCAGGTGTTTCCCCATGCACTGTTGGTGTGGCCCTGGGAACCACTCCAGAGACAGGAAAGGCGTCCTCACAGAACCTTGCTGGTTCCCACCAAGGATCCTGGTTTTCTTAGTGCTCATGGTCATGACATTCAGGAATCCATCCTGGGATCTTCTCATTTACCGGCCACCAGCGTTCACTCAGTGCCTATAAGGTGTTGAGAAAATGCTAGGCACTGGATAGTAAGACAGGTCTAATTCTGACCTCGTAGAGTTTTAGCAGCAGAGGGACAATTAGGGGAAATGGACCATGAATTGTAATAAAACAGGGGAAATTCAGGAAGTCATCAGTACATAGTGGAGTCAAGTAGGAGACTAACACTAACAGGTTCCCATTTTTTTCCCTTGAGCTGTTCATGAAAACTTAGTATTCTCTGAAAATATTTATCTGACAGTAATATATTTTTAACTCAAGCAAGGTAATGTCTAAACAACTGTGGGGGAGGTCTCTGACCACCAGATCAAAATAGCTAGGCATTATTGGAAAAGCAACAGGGAGCCCCTGAAGTTTTCTAAGGAGGAAGGTGATAAAATCAGAGATATATGTGGCTCAAGATGGATGAGGGATAGAGAAGAAGGCAGGGGGCTGCACTGACCACCAGGGGGCAGATGTTCAACGCAGGAGCTGCCCTCTGGTGGTCAGTGCGCTCCCACAGGGGGAGCGCTGCTCAGCCAGAAGCCAGGCTCACAACTGGTGAGCACAGAGGCGGTGGCAGGTGCCTCTCCCACCTCTGCAGCAGCTCTAAGGATGTCCGACTGACGGCTTAGGCCCGCTCCCCACAGAAACGGGCCAGAGGGCACAGGCCAGGCTGAGGGACCCCCCCCCCAAGTGCACAAATTTCATGCACCAGGCCTCTAGTAATCTAATAAATATAGGAATGGTTAATTGTATAAGTATATTCCTACAGAGATTTTATTTTCTGGATACATCTTTGATTTTGTATGTGTGTTGCTTTATTCAGACTGAGCAATCAGAAGTACTAAGCAATTCTAGATAGGCTCAAAGTGATTTGATGTTAGTTAACATAATAATTGTTTTTTCCACTGTAATGAGTTCAAAAGATGATATAATATAACATGATCTACTAGGGCATCTGGCAAGAAAACGATATATCCAATGAGTTGTCATTAAAAACAATGTTTAAAACAATTGTCAATCCACTAAAATCTTAAAAATATTAATGTAGTTATATTTGGCTTAAGAGAAAGAGAACAGGATGTAAATACCAAATACTTAATTAAACTATACCAGAAATGCTCCTACCCCTGAGTAGCCTTGTCAAGAAGAGTTACTCAAATAGGTGGTGTCAGGTAGGGACTAGACTCATCGGGGGATCACCTTGTAAGTTACGTAAATGTTTAACCACTGTGCTGTACACCTAAAACTAATATTGAATGTCAACTGTAATAAAATGTTTATTTAAAAAAAATGAGTTACTCAAAATGCAAAAGAGTTTGCTGTGACTACAGGTGTCACTTGCATCTCCCTTCTTTTTGTGTGACTGCAAGTGAAAAGAAGGCCAAAGGTTTCTCCAAAATATTTCAGGGCCCCTCCCCCCATTTCTTGGGAGATCAGGACCAGTCAGCAGAGACAATTGTGGCTCTTACCCAGCGTCATCCTGGAAGCCTTCTAGCTCGTCCCGCTGCTCTGCCAGGGTGGCTTCCAGGTCCAGGTAGGTGCCATTGTGGGACAGCTGCAGTGTGCAGTCGTCGAGCTGCAAGAGAAAGAGCCTGGTCAGCCCAGCCGGCTCCTGGGAGGGGGACTCTGCATGGAGCAGTCACTGCATGTTGCCCCATGTGGGTTTTTAATCAAGCATTATTCTGAAGTGCAGATCATAGTTGGAGGAGGTAGTGTGTTCCTGTGAGTAGATTGGAAGCAGACTGCCTACCAAGTGGACAGATATGACACCTATTAAGGGAATGGCCTTGACAGGGCCCAATGGATGTCGATGGGGGTAGAGAAGGAGCCCTTTGGGCCAGTGCCACTTTGCACTCTGAGGGGCTCAGGAGAATCTATGGATGTGGGGAGTGGGAACCAAGATCACAATGCTGGTGTGAACGTGGATTAAGAGTCCCAGCGTTTCAAAGGCAAATTTGATGGAAAAACATGTTGTTTCCTTTGATTCAGTGAGAAGCCTGCTTACTCAGATTCTGTCATGCTTGGCACGATACAATCAATAGCTGCTCAATAAACAACTGAGCTAAAAGAAACATTCTCCATTTGGATGACAACATGCCCAAATTACAACATACCACAGAGGGCCTGAGGTCCCTGGTTACTAGTCTCAGTTTTTTTAAATGTATTTAACATACTTTGTTATTATGTTCATGCATAATTCTAAGCATTTTGCCTATGTTGCTTCATTTGCTTCTGACATGGACCGTACTTCTATTATTATCCCCACTTTACAGATGAAAAAACTGAGGCATAGAGAGAAGCTAAGAGATGCCCCATCTGGTAATGATGGAGCTGGGATTTGGATACCAGCCGTTTGACCATGTACTCAACCACTAAGTTCTGATCCTTCCTATGGCCTGAGATCTACGAAGGACTTAAAAATATCAATCTTGCAATATATAGCTTATGGCATCTGAGTGTTCCGCTGGTGTGCCATGTGTTTGTCAACCCCCTTCCCTTTCCCTCCTGGACAAACCACATATCCCAGCCTTATAGTTGGTTTTCAGCCGTGAAACTGAGTACTGACCAATGGAATGTGAGTGAAAGTGAACAAGGCCCCCAACACCCCTGGCCACAACACCCTTGCACAACGTCCCACTTTTCATCTCTTGCCTGCGGCCAGATGCAGAGGGGCCAGCGGAGGACTCCAAAGTCTAGAATCCACCAGAGCCCCAGGTTCCTGAATGGCTGCACAAAACAGAGCCCTTCGCTACCCCGCCTCCACTGAACCAAAACGAGCAAGACACGAGCCTTTGTGGCAGTGAGTTGTGAAGATTTTGAGATTGATTGTTACAGCAGCATCACATGACATTTACAATGATCAAGACACATAAAAATAAAGGGAAATAATTTTACCAAAGATTAAACTGACCTGACGAGGAAGCCCAAATGTATAACTGCATGCTTGATTTCTCAGGCTGTAGGGTGGCTCTTTTTATTCATCTACTTGCTGAGTTAGGCTCTTATTTCAAAATGACAGGCAGTTGGGGAAAAACAGAGGCGAACATGTGGCTACTTTAAAATAACTAAATAAACATGTGATAACACTTCCGCAGTGAGATTTCAAACAAGGAATTAGTCTCTTGATAGAAAAGCTATGCTTATTATCCCCAACAAGAGAACTGAGACTATCTTCTTGTCTAGAATGAGCACTTCTAAGAGGCTGCTGATCCTTTTTTTTTTTTTTTGGAAAATCATCTTTAATGAAATAGAACTTACATTAGATTGCACAGATTTTAAACTGTACAGTTTGATGAGGGGTTTTGGGGTTTTTTTGGTGGTTTTTTTTTTTTTTAGTTGTTTTTTCAATTAGGGACCGGGCAGGTCCGTGTTTCTGGTTATCCTCAACAAATTGAAAGGAATTTGTTCTTTGTTATTTGTAAGAAACACCTAGTTAAATTGTTTAAAGGGGTTAATCCTATTTGATTCACTTGTTTGATTTCTCTAATAACAAACTGTTCCTCTAAGGGCGTGCTGGTGAGGGTCAGCATTCTTGACTGGCACAGACGGATCATCTGATCCGAGACAGCATTTCACCCAGGAATTAAATTGGCCAAATTCATGGTTCTGAGGTGTCAGGGGTGCACACAGGGATCTGCTCCCCCCACCTGTGGAACCAGCAGCCAGGAATGGTTTCCTGCAGAGGCATCTCCTGGGCCCAGGGTCTCCTGAGGACTGAAATCCGACTTTATCCTTCCCAGGTGGAAAATTCCATGAGTCCCTGGACCTGCTAACATGCACACTGACCACATGGACGGCTGGACTCACAGCTGCTCATTCTTGCTTTTAACTCCTACAGATGTTGTTAACTAAGAAAGCTACTTGATCTGTTGTGTTGATAGTATCCGCACATTTGTTTATTTTTAATCCCACATATAATCAACAGCCTAGAAGGTGGGGGTAATGAAAGCCCTTTAGGCCATAACAATTTCTTGGGCTTCAGCCCCTAGAAACAGGTGAGCCCAGAGAAAGCTTTTGGGTAGACCAGGGGTTAGGAACCTTTTTTCTGCCAAGGGCCATTTGGGTATTTATTACATCATTCACGGGCCATACAAAATTATCAACTTAAAAATTAGCCTGCTATATTTGGTCAGACATTTAATTAACTCAACCCTAAAGTCTTGGCAGGACCAGACCAAATTATTTCCAAGGCCTTATATGGCCCAAGGGCTGGACGTTCCCCACCGCTGGGGTAGAGCGTTTCTGCCTCTCCCCGAGGGGGTCTGAGTCATTCTGTAGTCCACCCGCAGACCCGGCGAGAGCCCAGGGGGATAGGGACAGCCTGTGCACTGGTATGTGGTGTAAATTCTCCCACCGCGGCCCATGTCAGCCAGCTTCGTGAAGTCACTGAGCGTGGGGTTGCACAAGATGTGCAGCAACTAACCAGTATATGGTATGTTTATCAGGTACAAGAGATGTCAGAAACCTCAAAAGGATGTGGAGCAGTAAAATGTAATAAAACATTTAGGAAGTGACATGTTTTGAGTTGCTATTATTATCTTTATTTTTTATTTTTTGTTGTTTTTATGAGAGTATAGTTGGCATACAATCTGATATTAGTTTCAGGTGCACAACATAGTGATTCGACATTAATATAATGTACGATGTGATCACCATAATCAGTCTAGTAACCATCAGTCACCGTACAAAGTTATCATGATGTTACTGACTATATTCAACGGGCTGTACATTACATCCCAGTGACTTGTTTATTTTATAACTGGAAGTTTGTACCTTATTATCTTTATTATCTTTGTTTTTAATAGAACTTATTAATTGTACAGGTATATCCTTAAATCTTTAATAATAGCTATATTGAACAGCTGGCTCACAGAACCCCCGAGAATACCCACCAGCCCTCTCGAGCTCCCCAGGCCCACTCCAGCACACTCTGCTTCTGGCCCTCCCAGCTCACTAATTTGAGGTGCCTAAGGTGGAGACAGCAGGGGGTGCATGAAAGGCTTGCAGCCCTCTCCACCTCTACCCCAGCCCTATGCTGTTCTTAGTTAGGGGGAAGTGGGGATTCCTGGTGGCTGGCAGATGCAGCCCTTATGGCAACTCTGGCTATCTGGCACATCATCTCCACACAGGCCCTTCCGATGTTATTCCCAGCCAGCCAAGGTGAATATCTGGTTTTCCTCAACACTCACCCTGGCCCCCCACGCTCCCAGCCAGCCCTGGACCACAACAGGAAGCCCCACACCTCTCAGCCTCTGACAGCAGAATCCCGAAACAGCAGAACCGCCTATTCTCCTCACGCCTCTCCTCACATTCAGGGCCGCATTAGCCATCACCATTTCCATAGGTCAATTTCAACCAAATTATATGTCAGGCACAGGCTGGGCACCAAGGAACACATAAATGCTTCCTTCCCTCAAAGATCATTTTATTGAGTAAGAATGACACAGAAGAGAACAAAAAGCCATTTTAAACCAACTGTCCAAATGTGTGGAAGTTCACCCTCAGTTCTATTCCTCCTCTATAATTAGCAGCCACAGCCTCCGTGACCCAAGCATCCTCCATAAAACCGCCCCGGTCCCCCTTCCGGAGACAGGCTGTCACTACCTCCCAGGCCAGTGTCACAACCCCGCTCCCCCTGCCTAATAGTTTAGCCATCTGTGCTCGCAAGTCCTTCAACTAAACAGAAAATGTGACTACGTATGCGCCTTTTGACCCCTCACGAAGTGTGTGTGTGGAGTCCTCACGGCAGGGCTAGAGCAAGGGGGCAAGGTCAGACGCCACCGCCTTTGGGGAGCCCAGACACGTGGGTACCAGAGGGGTCCCAGCAACACGGCTGCCTGTGAAGACACCAAAGGAATCGACACACACTGCCCACCCCCATCCTGTGATACAAACCCCACCTCAATGTGACACCCGAGACAGGCGAGCTTAATATTTAAACCATCACATGAGCCAAGGAGTTAGAAGAAAGGGCTTCCTTGCTGGACTGACACATTGAAAAATTGTGTCAATATTTTGGGGAGAGGTTTTAGGTATTTTTTAATCCTCACCCAAGGATATGTTAATTGATTTTTTGATTTTTTTTTTTAGAGAGGAGAGAAGGGGGAAAAAGAGAGAGAGAAAGAGAAACATCAACATGAGAGAGAAACATTGATCGGTTGCCTCCCGTATGTGCCTGGACCAGGGATCAAACCAGCAACCTTTTGGTGTACGGGACGACCCTCCAACCAACTGAGCCTCCCGGCCAGGGCGCTTGAAGTGTCATTTTTACAAACCAATTGATAGGGACACTAAATGAATTCTTCAGACTTGTCAGGGATACCTAATAGCAGTTATAAACGAGTACAGCCGGGTGAAGAAGCAGTGAGTGGACGTTAGCTCCCAGCTGGTCGTTATGAAGATTCAGCCGGCAATACCCAGACTCTGCCTGCAGGCTGAAGGCTCAGACACCTCCTGCCAGACCAGCTCCTGACGGGAACCTCAGCTCCCACTTAGAGGCAACCTGATCCCTTGCCTTGGCCTCTCCTGTCAACTGTCTTCCCGGATGACTTAAGGGCCCTGGAATTTCCTGACTCCAACGATTTTCATGTCAACCCTGAGCCCCTGGCAGCAGGTCCCCTGCACTCCTCTCTTGGCTCCAGGCTCAGTGGCCAGGACACTGCGGGCACTTCAGGACATAAGACAACGCGGGTGCCAGGCGGGACGATAATGTTACAGGGCCGTTATAAAGTGCGGGCGTTAGGGAAGTTTGGGGGCAGTGACAGTGGCAGAGCAGGAAGACTTGGGATCAGGTTGCAGGCTGTAAACCAGCGGCTGGGATTCTGTGGGGGGCAGGGTGCTCTAGAGGGAATCCATCACAGATCTACAAGGAGGGACCCATGCAAATATCCTGGAATTTTGTGCCGCTCCTCCCAGGTCAAAGCGAACCATGAACATGTGCTCTCGCCCTGGCTGGTTTGACTCAGTGATTGAGCGTAGGCCTGCAGACTGAAGGGTCCCAGGTTCGATTCTGGTCAGGGCACATGCCTGGGTTGTGGGCTCCAGTGGGGAGCGTGCAGGAGGCAGCTGGTCAATAATTCTCATCATTGATGTTTCTATCTCTCTCTCCTTCTCCCTTCCTCTCTGAAATCAATAAACATATATGTAAGAAAAGAAAATGGGCTCTTGATCTCTGGGGACATGGAAAGACCCCCCCCCCTCCTTGCAGCGAGGTTGCACAAGGTCAGCTTGGGGTTTAGACCGCTCCTACAGAGAAGACACTGCATTCAAAAACAAAGGGCAGACTCCTCATCCTGGGGGGGGAGGGGGCGGGCGGGGGGAATCTAAAACAAGGCTGATGTCACGTCTGGATTTACATATTC